TATTTGTGACATGATGTACCTTGTGTGTGTGAAGTTTGAACTTGATCAATCCAGACATGTCTCGGATACGGATCCAGAACTGAATTCTTTAAAACAAAATGGCCGCCAGTCGGCTATTTCGAACTTGATCCGAAAAAAAAATGACGTGCATCAAGGTCCTATTATGTTTAATGTATGTACCAAATTTGAATGAAATCCGTCCATGCATAACTGAGATCCGGGTCCGGAATGGTGAAAATGTGCGATTTCAATGCATTTTCGGCCTTAAAGCGGCCGCCATTTGGCTATCGTTAATGAGATCATGAAACAAATGCACATACATATTTGTGACATGATGTACCTTGTGTGTGTGAAGTTTGAACTCGATCAATCCAAGCATGTCTCAGATACGGATCCAGAACTGAATTCTTTAAAACAAAATGGCCACCAGTCGGCCATTTCGAACCCGATCCCAAAAAAAAAATGACGTGCATCAAGGTCCTATTATGTTTAATGTATGTACCGAATTTGAACAAAATCCGTCCATGCATAACTGAGATCCGGGTCCGGAATGGTGAAAATGTGCGATTTTGATGCATTTTCGGCCTTAAAATGGCCGCTATTCGGCTATCGTTAATCGGATCATGAAAAAAATGCATGTGCATATGTCCCATATAATGTGTGATGTATGAGTGAAGTTTGAACTTAATCGGTCCATGCATGTTCGAGATACAGGTGATCACGGACGCACGGACGCACGGACGCACACAGGGCAAAACATAAGTCCCCGTTTTCGGACTGCGTCCGAACGGGGACTAAAAAGTATTGTGTGTAATGCTATAGCTAATATGCAAAAAGTATTGTGTGCAATGCTATAGCTAATATGCAAAAAGTATTGTGTGCTATGCTATAGCTAATATGCAAAAAGTATTGTGTGCTATGCTATAGCTAATATGCAAAAAGTATTGTGTGTAATGCTATAGCTAATATGCAAAAAGTATTGTGTACAATGCTATAGCTAATATGCAAAAAGTATTGTGTGCTATGCTAAAGCAAAAGATTATAAAGATAGTTATGTGTGGTGCTAATAAAAGGTCAATGAATTACAATTATAATTGTGCAGATAGTTCAGCACTTGTATATTCTTTGCTCATGTTTCATGTTGATAAATAGTATATACTAAATATGGTTGAAAAACACAAGTCCAATCATTCTGCCACTGAGGGCATTGTTCTCTTGCTGTCAGGGATGATAAATGGTTTTTACCTTGCCTGTACCATCAAAGATGGAAGGGAAAGATATACTATTTTAGTTGATTTGCATACAAAGCAGAGCTTGCAACATGATAGTTATTCATAGAGGACATTTTTTACTTTTCAAATAATACAGTAGTCAATGAATATAATAAGGCAGTTCATATTTGTCTCAGTGAATCATTAATTTTGACAGACATCTCTTCAAAATATTGGGCAAAAGCCAGCTAAGATTTTTTGTTATCTTGCTTGTTTCATAAATCTATTCATGTCTAAATTCAACACTTTTTGTTTTGTTTTGTTTTTATACTAACATATCTGAATTACTTTGAATGAAGCTGGAAATGATGTCTCTTAAAATAATTAAACAAATTAGACACCGATGTTTTTGTCAGATATTTACATCAATCAAGGACATTCGGTAGACTGCTTTCCCACTATTGTTTCAATCCCAAAACTTGTTAGTATTCAAAATTAATTATGACAATGCATATTCATATTCATGAACAAATATGATAAAGTGAATAATATAATATAACAAAGGGTAAAGTCACCATAGTTCAACTTTGTCTTAGCTCCGCTGTTGACTTTGTCGCGTGGAGCTTATACATTGTATGAGTGATTTGTCAGCCGTCGACCGACGTCTGTAGTATGTAGTCTCTTGTCAACTTTTTACATATTTGCCGTCTTCAAAACCGTTAAGCTAAATACTTTCACGTTTGTAACATAGATTATTAGGATAGTCCTTTCTCAGATTTGTTCTTTCAGGATTAAAATTTTAATTTTGAGGAATATATTTGTCATTTTTAGTAAACGGATATTTTTATTTGACTTGTTGAAAACCACAAGTCCAATTGTTTTGATATTATATACATAGGTACTACATGTGGACTTCTCTCTATTTTGTGATGATATCTTCAATTCTCTAATTTTGATGAATATTTTTTGTAAAACGTGATATTTTTGACTTCTTGTCAAGTCTGAGTGCTTTGATATTATACAAGTAGGTACCTCAGGAAGACCTCGCTCAGATATGTTCATTTTCTAATGATATCTTCAGTTCTATAACTGAAATGTGCAATGTTAACAGCAGAGCTATCTTAGCCTAGAGGCTGCTAGTTACAACATAGACTTTATCACAACTACTGTGTTTTATGAATCAAATTGTTGTAATTTACAACCAGTTACTAATTTTTTTACTACAGTGAGACGTAGCTCAGAGTTTGGTACATCATCTAGTGGTTCCAGACCAAGACCAACTAGTAGCTCAGCACGTTTACCATTACCATCACCATCCCCCAGAAGGACTCCTTTGACAGGTATGTGTGTCACATTTCTTATAAGTTTTTTTGACTCCCATGTGCGAAGCACAAAATGGGAGTCTTTGCGGTTAGTGTGTCTGTATGGGTGTGTGTGTACGTGTGTCCGTCTGTTCCACTGATATCTCAAGAACCATTCATCAGTTTTTGATGAAACTTGGTGCATAGATGCTCTGGGCTAATGCAGATTTGATTAGGTTTTGGTAAAATTTCATGCATATTAATTACCTAATTTGCATGATAATAAGCTAATTTTTAGCTGTTCCATGACTGTTCCATTGTTATCTAAAGAACCACTTATTGGATTTGATGAAACTTGGTACATGGATGCTCTGAACTAATGCTTGGTTTTGATTATTTTTTGGTAAAAATTACCTAATTACTAATTACCTAATTTGCATAATGATTAGTCAATTTTCGTTTTTTCCACTAATATCTCAAGTACTAATCATCACATTTCAATGAAACTTGGTACATAGATGTCATAAGATACTGCACAGACCTGATAGTTTTTAGGGTAATGTCAGTGCATATTAATTACCTAATTTGCATAATTAATTAATTTTCAGCTTTTGATGTTTCAAGTAGTAAGCATTACATTTCAATGAAACTTGGTACATAGATACTTAAGGACTATGCAGAGATTGTTTGTTTTGGAATAAATATTTGTGCATATTAATTACCTAATTTGCATAATTAGTTAATTTTCAGCTTTCCCACAGATATCTCAAGTACTAATTATCACATTGCAATGAAACTTGGTACATAGATTCTTTAGGACTATCCAGAGACCTGATTAGCTTTAGGGTTAATAATTGTGTATATTAATTACCTACTTTGCATAATTAATTAATTTTCAGCTTTCACACTGATTTCTCAAGTACTAATCATCACATTTCAATGAAACTTTGTACATGGATGCTGTAGGACAATAGACAGACCTGGATAATTGTGGGTTAAAATCTGTACATATTAATTACTAATTTACATAATTAACCACTTTTATCTAAAGTACTAATTATTCCATTTCAATGAAACTTAGTGCAAAGATGCTCTAGGACAATGTACAAACCTGATTAGTTTGGGGTTAAAATCTGTTTATATTAATTCCCTAATTAGCATAATAATTTATAAATTTGTTTGGTTCCAATCAAATTTCAATAAAACTTGGTACATAGATGGTCTGTTACATTGCACAGACCTCATTAGTTTTCCATTAAAATCTGTTCATATTAATTTTCTGATTTGCATTATTAGTTTTTGGCTTTTCCATCACTATCACTATCTCTGACAAGTAATTTTGAATTATATTTAATGTGTCTCCAATACTCTCAGCACATGGGAGTTCTTTCTAAGCTTTCTTTGATTGCTGATTATTTTTAGTGGAATTTACTTACTCTGTAACTTGTATAATAATTGTTCAGACTGAATAACAACTTATTTGACATTTTTTGAGGAATGAGCAATAGCCATTTTATCTGCCAACGTATTCACAAATATCTTTTTTAATTTGTTATCAAAAGATCATAATTTATCATTGCCTACAAGTTCTGATAACATTTTTGAAAAATATAGTGGAGCTTTTGGGGCTTAAACTTTACAGTGGCATTGTTGTGTTTGCTTTGGTGCCCCAAGTTGTTTCTTATATTATCCTTGTATGCTGAGACATTTTTTATCAAGTTTGGTCTTGAAACTAGGTGCCTCCCTTGTTTATTTTGGAAATAGCATGAACCTACTACATGGGAATAGTAACAAACGTTGTCTTTTTGAATTATTGAATTCAATATTTTTTGTGCTACTGGGTATTACGCTGATTGTTTCAATCAACGTAGCATTTCAGTATATTTCAGTTTAAGTCCTAAACTGCATAGTAATACAAAATCTGATTTTTCAAATATAAGATTTCTTAAGCCCAGCTTAAGGAGTTACTATGCAACCAGTGGTGATCAGTTACACAAGTGTAGGGGAAAAAATGCAAGCGTCTTGAGGGAGGTGAAAAGTCAAATAAAAACAGCTGCTGGTTAATTTCTAATTAGCTCCCCCTAGGTATTTGTACTTGCTGAGATAGTTTGGATATTTGATATTTTATTTGTAGTAATTACCGTAAAATCTGTATTAGAAGCCGCATCCCTAATAGAAGTCGCACCCATTCTTTTTGAATAATTGAGAACCAAAAATTCATCATTTCTCATATGTGTAGATGCTCTAATAGAAGCCGCATTCCCTTTGTTGCATTGTACCATTTTAATAGAAGCCTCGGCTTCTAATACAGATTTTACAGTACTACTGTAGGTTTGTTTTGCTGTAGTCACTGTATTACTGACCCACTTTTTGCTATGTTTGTGTTGGTTGGATTCTAAGTGATGTTCCTCCTACTGAGGTGAATGATGTTTTGATAGTATAGTAAGTCTTACAACTCAATGGGATACTGTGGTTGCACTAAGTTTGACTGAATTATGAGGTAATCCGAGCTTCAGTTTGTTTTATCTTAAGTTGTGAAAAAAAATTTTGTAGTTGATATCATAATAATTACCATGGTACATTGTCATGTAAATATGTAAAAAGAATAACTTCTTCACGTCATGAACTTGGTGTGGCGTCTGCATAGAGTGATATGCCTGTGCATGTTAGATTACCATGTGTTCTACACACTATTCAGGTTCTATAATATTCCCTTTGCAGAGAGTAAGGACTACCCTAAACCATCACTCTCACAAATCAAAAGCATTAAGAGTGAATTATCACTGCCAATGCATACAATTTAAAAAAATTGAAAATTTCAAGCTTACCAAGCAGTTAACAAAAACTTTGTTTTGAACATAAACAAAGAAAAAATAAGTGTTTTCACTTATATTAATATTTGCTGAAAAGACTTTTTGGGTGTTTTTTATTTCCACTGATATTTGACGAGTTGAATGTGAAATATAAAAAAAAAGGTATATTCACAGGACTTTATTTTCACAGAATCATTCCTTCAGTGAAAATAGCGAAAATGAATTTCAATAAAATAAATAAAGTATTTTACAGTAAACCAAAAATTGTTGTGTACAGAATCATTAAATTATTATGTTGACTGTAGAAACCTTAACTAATAGAGCAAGTATGGTATGTGTAAGTTTTATTGATATCATAACAGTATTGCATTCCACTGGCTTAAAGTGGCATATATTTGAGTTGGAGATGAATCTATGCATGTCTTCCTGTTCACACTATCCCACATTCTTCATCCAGTGAGATGCTATGAGGAAATTCATTTTTGTTGCGTTACAAAATTTGAGATATATTGTGACTGATTAACCATTGGCAGTATTTTATATCTTGGATACTGTTTGTTCTAGTCTGCTTCCTTGTAACATGTGCTTAATAGACTCGGTGTAAACATTCCAAACACTTTCCATTCCCAGTGGAACCTGCATAGTTTTGTAATCAAATCCTAATGGTATATTCAATTGGAGTGAAATTACTGTTTTCAGCTATAGTATGCAATGTGGAACTGTCGCGTTTTTGACATGTGTGTATTATAGCATACATGTATTTATTGTCTAAATCTGACATGTGTGTATTATAGCATACATGTATTTATTGTCTAAATCTGACAATAATTATTTCAATATTTGTAAATTAGTAGATTTGTTTTCACTGTAAATTTATTTGGGGAGAAATAATGTCAAACATTTTGTCTCTAAATATTTTGTAATACTTGTTAGGTGATGTACATGATTTGTTTTCACCCTATGTTGCCATGCAAAATGTTAAGATATTAAGATATTTTCTTGCCATAGGAAATAAATAAATAAATGCTCTTGGAAATTAGTATAATGACCCAATAACGTTAGCTCACTTTCTTTATCCTTGTAACACGACATATATAAAAATATATTACTGGTATATAATTTTTGCTGATATAAATTTACTAAATGGAAACCAAATGTTTAGAAATGAAACCTTTCTTAAACCAATTCTTGTATATAAACCCAGAAATGAAATGCACATACCGAGCTTGCATCTCCAATATAGAGACGCATGTAATCTATCAATTTCATTAAAGGGTGGTGGTCATGTGTGTTTGAATATCCTAAAAACAATGTATATTTTACATGTTGTGTAAGTCACTATGAGTTCCATATCCCATAGAACTTGCCAATTATATTTACACAACACGAAGATTTATTTAACATTTACCGGTAAATACTAGTTCCACTCTTGTTTGTTTTTTTTTCAGAATATTTTTACATATATCTTGTTATTATTTTAAAACTTATTTTTGCTTTACTTATCCTATCCTATGTAAATCTTTTTATACGGCGACATTAAAGTTCTTATTATTATTATGGAACATGACGACGACCACCGCCCTTCAATTATATACAAGATCATTCAAATATGACTTATTTCAATTGTAGACATGCCTCTGTCATTTATGTGAGTGCTACTAATAGAGCAAATACGATAGCAGTTCTCACTTGCTTGATATAAATTTAATTTTTAATACTGTCAATTTTATTTTTGCTTCTCTGTTTTGGGGAAAACGTATTGTTGATAAAATCAGTTTATTAATTTTAGCACTTTAGTCATTTTACGTCTGAATCAAAATGTGAACTGTGAAGTCCCAAACCATGCTTCGCATATAACTGTACAAGTCATAACTTTGTCATTAAATATACATACATGCATGCATGCAGCGTTGTAATTATTTTTTCATTATTTATTACTAATAGTAATATTATGGCTTGAAGCTGCAAAATATGTAAAGTAATATATATATATATATTATATATATATATATATATATATATATATATATATTTTACAATAATATAGACTTTCAAACCACCCATTTTAATTACCTTGCCCGTACCATCAAAGATGGAAGGGAAAGGTATATTAAGGGAAAATTTTTGTCCGGCGTTGTCGTTGTTGTCGTCGTCGTCGTTAATAATTGTTATTGTGTGCATAATAACTTTACTAATTCTATTCCAAACTTTATCAAACTTGGTCAC